GCTTCAGGGGGTATTTCCTTGTATTTAATTTCTATTTCCATAAGTACAAGCACACTGCAGGCATTGCACCTTTTTTAAGGGGATATTCCCTTGTATTTAATTTCTATTTCCACAAGTTCAAGCACATTGCAGGCATTTCACCTTATTTAAGAGGCGTTAAGGGGCATTTATTTGTATTTACATCAAATGCATAGAATCAGGGAGATATTTATTTCTATTTCCAAAAGTACAGGCGTGTTGCAGGCATTACGTCTTATCTTTGGGGCCATGTCTTTGCATTTAAATCAAACGTATAGAATAAGGGAGAGAGGTTGGTTTGTATTTATGCAGAAATAAGGTTTATAACAGATATATAAACATATAAACATATGGCTGGATGGCCATCTGTTGGGAGTGCTTTGCATGTGATTGTCCTGCTCTTGGAAGGGGGTTGGACTGGATGGCCCACAAGGTCTCCTCCAACTCTATATTATTATTGCATCTTCTCTAAGGGGGGTATTTATTGGCATTTAAATCAAATATAAATGACAAGGAGGATGGTTTCTATTTAAGCAGAAAGATGGTGGGTAACAATTATATTATTATTATTATATCACAATGATTATTATTGCATCTTCTCTAAGGGGGGTATTTATTTGCATTTAAATCAAATATAAACAACGAGGAAGATGGATTCTATTTAAGCAGAAAGAAGGCGGGTAAATAATAATAATAATAACTATTATTATATCAAAATTGTGATCACCAGGGCATTTGTGGCCGGGAACAAGCATGTTGCAGGCTTGTTTTGTATTGAAATCAATTGCACAGAATCAGGGAAACATTTATTTCCAAAAGTAGAAGCATGTTTTAGGCACTGTATCTTATTTAAGGGGAGTATTCCATTGTATTGGATTTCTATTTCCAAAAGTACAAGCACAGCTGCAGCACTGCACTTTATTTAAGGGATATTAAGGGGCCTTTATTTGTATTTAAATCAAATGTGTAGAATCAGGGAGATATTTATTTCTCAAAGTACAAGCACGTTTTAGACATTACATCTTATCTGGGGGGGGAGAGCTATTTTCCTTTAAATCAAATATACACGATGAGGAAAATGGTTTCTATTTAAGCAGAAAGAAGGCGGGTAACAAATATATCATTATTATTATATTATTATCATTATCATTATTATTATTATTATTACTGCATCTTCTCTAAGGGGATATTTATTTGCATTTAAATCAAATATAAACAACGAGGAAGATGCTTTCTATTTGAGCAGAAAGAAGGCGGGTAACAAATATATAATAATAATAATATCACAATTATTATTATTACTGCATCTTCTCTAAGGGGATATTTATTTGCATTTAAATCAAATATAAACAATGAGGAAGATGGTTTCTGTTTAAGCAGAAAGAAGGCAGGTAACAAATATTATTACAATTATTATTACGGCTTCTTCTCTAAGGGGATATTTACTTGCATTTAAATCAAATATACACGATGAGGAAGATGCTTGCAGAAAGAAGGCTTGTAACAAATATATTATTGTATCACAATTATTATTACGGCATTTTCTCTAAGGGGGTATTTACTTGCACTTAGGTCAAATATACACAATGAGGAGGATGGTTTCTATTTAAGCAGAAAGATGGTGGGTAACAAATATATTATTATATCACTACTATTATTACTGCGTCTTCTCTAAGGGGGTATTTACTTGCATTTAAATCAAATATAAACAATGAGGAAGATGCTTTCTATTTGAGCAGAAAGAAGGAGGGTCACAAATATGTTATTATATCACAATTATTATTATTACTATTACTGTGTCTTGTCTAAGGGGATATTTATTTGTATTCAAGTCAAGTATACACAATGAGGAAGATGGTTTCTATTTGAGCAGAAAGAAGGCGGGTAACAAATATATTATTATATCACAATTATTATTATTATTATTATTATTATATTACTGCGTCTTCTCTAAGGGGGCATTTATTTGCAAGTATATTATTATTATTATTATTATTATTATATCACAATTATTATTACTACTGCGTCTTCTCTAAGGGGGTATTTATTTGCAAATATATTATTATTATTATTATTATTATTATATCACAATTATTATTATTACTGCGTCTTCTCTAAGGGGGTATTTATTTGCAAATATATTATTATTATTATTATTATTATTATTATTATTATATCGCAACGACTATTTTTATGGTGTCTTCACTAAGGGGGTATTTACCTGCATTCAAATCAAGTATAATCAACGAGGAAGGTGGTTTCTATTTAGTATATTGTTATATCAAAATTGTGATTCCCCACCAGGGCCTGCCTGTGTGTCTGGGAAGGAGCACGTTGCAGGGGTATGCCTTGGGATGCCTTGGAGGGAGCACGCTGCCTGGGCGGCCCTTCTGGAGGAGGGAGCCCTTCCTTGCCCTTCCAGGGAGGAGGAGGAGGAGAAGGAGGCGTCCCCACGCGCGCCTGGGCCGGGGGAGAAGGCCGAGAGGGAAGGAAGGGAGCGGGCGTGCGCGCGGGAGACAAAAGGGGCGCCGAACATGGCTTCCTCCTCCTGCGCGGCCTGCACTTCCGGTGGAGCCTGGCTTTTCCCGCCTCCGGGAGCCAAGATGGCGGCGGCGCCCGTCTCCTGAGGAGAATCGCCCTCCTCCTTTTCTCTTCCGTTCCCGGCTCCTCACCTGAGATCTCGTCGGCCCCGTCGTGGTTGGAGTTGAGCTCCTTCTTGCTGACTTTGGCCGCCGGCGCCGACATCTTGAGGGAGGAGAAGGAAGGGAGGCCTAGGCCTGGGACCGGGGGCTCGCCTGCCTGCCTGCCTGGCGCTGCTCCTTCTTCCTCGCGGGCCTCCTTCCTCCCTTCCTCCTTCTCCTCAGGCCTGCTGCCTCCGCTCGGCTTCTCCTCCTGAGGGCGAGAGAAGGGCCTCCCTCCTGCGCACGCGCACAAACAGCCTCTCTGCGCTCCTTTCGGCTGCTCTCCCGCGAGAGGAATGGGCCGGCGCCTGCGCACGAGGAGCTCTTGTCCCCGCCCCCCTCTCGCGCACGCGCAGAAGGGTCCTCCTTCGCCACTCACAAGGCCATTCGCGCAGGCGCACTCGCTTCCCTCCCTTTTTCTTCCTCGCTTCAGCCCTCCCCCTGTGTCTCCGCCCCCGTTTTTCCTTATGCGCAGGCGCAGAAACGTCTCTTCGGTGTGAGGGAGAATACTGCGCATGCGCACTCGCCTGTCCCCTTTTCTGCCTTGCTTCACGCCTCCATGCCCCCGCCCCTTTTTTCCCCGCTTTGCGCAGGCGCAGCAATGTCTACGCGAAAAAAGACCTCGCTTGTGAATACTGCGCATGCGCACTCGCCTGTCCCCTTTTCTGCCTTGCTTCACGCCTCCACGCCTTTTTCTCCGCTTTGCGCAGGCGCGGAAATCTCTAAGCTTGTGAATATTACGCATGCGCACTCGACTGTCAATCCCTTTACTCCCTAACTTCAGGCCTCCATATGCCCTTTCTCTTTTCTTCGCGCATGCGCATAAACGTCAATCTCGCTTTTGAATACTGCGCATGCGTATTCGTCTGTCGCCCTTTACTCACTTCAGCCCGCCCCTTTTCTCCCTTTTTGCGCAGGCGCAGAAACGACTCTTCGCCGTGCTCGGAAAAAAAAGTTTGTCGCGCATGCGCAACTCGTTTCTCTGCTTTCTCCCTCTTCGCGTGTGCTTTTAAATACTGCGCATGCGCCTGTACCATTCACTTCAGTCCTCCATACCCCCGCCCGTTTTCTCACTTTTGCGCACGCGCAGAACGACTTTCCGTGGCTGGAGAAGTTTATCACGCATGCGCAACTTGCTTTTCTCCCTCGTGAGACCTCGCTTTTGAATACTGCGCATGCGCAATCGCATGTCCCCTTTCCTCCACGCCCCCAACTTTTTCCCTCTTGCGCAGGCGCAGAAACGTCTCATCGCAATGGCTGGAAAAAAGGCTTGCCGCGCATGCGCAGTTCGCTTCTCTCCTTTTCTCCCTCGCTTGAGTGCTGCGCACTCGCACTCGATGCATCTTTTCGCCCCGCTTGTGAATATTGCGCATGCGCACATCCCTTCTCGCCCTCACTTCAGGAAAGATAGATATTTCCCACAACCAGCCTCTAGAGGCCGCTGTGGCGTAAATAAAATACCTCTTTGGATGCATCTACACTGCAGATTTAACCCAGTTTGATCCCGATTGCCGCAAACAAAAGCACAACGAGAACATTTCAGGGTTTTTTTGGTTTCTTATTTTCTTTTTTTGTCATTCCTTTTGAGAAAGAAGAAAAAATGTGTTTTGTTTTTTTTGTTAAAGCTTTGACAAATAATCGGCCGCATTCACACTTTTGTTTGTTTGTTTCATGCAGAGAGAGAGAAAAAAAATTGGGATTATTTCCGTTAATACAGGACAGAAAGGAAGAAAGAAAGAAATCGATACAGACATAAATATCGATAGATCGATCGATTAGAAAGACAGCATTCTGCAAATCCCGACGAGGCAAGACAGAAATCATTGCAGCACAGAAAGAGGATGATGAGGATGATGATGATCATTTTTTTGCATTGGTTTTTGTTTTGTTTCCGGTGCAGGAATGGATGCAAAAATGCAATATTTATAATTCTGAAAAAATGCAATATTTATCTTTTTTTTCTAAACCCAGCAAAAAAAAAAAAATAATATCCAAAATTATTATTATTATAACTATTGGCTTCGTTTTCCAGATCCGTGTAAACCGTGCAACCCACCCAATAACAGCAGCAGCAGCAGCAATAACAAATAAATATTGATCGTTTTGAGGCTTTCGGCCTGGACAGAAAAGCATTGATATGTAGGCGATGGGTCGGTTTCAGGCGCGATACCTTCCCTCTCATTGCAATGTCTTGCGTCTGCATTCCTTTCCCGAACCAAATTCCATCCGAACCATTCAAACGGGGGGAAATAATAATCGTAATATTGTCATAATTCTTCTTTTTCCAGCTCCTTTCTTTCCCCCCCCAAAATAATGCAGACGTTGGCGAAAACGGAGACGGACCGACGGGTTGGTTGGTTGGTTGGTTGGTTGATCAATCAAGCGCAAAAAAGGGTCTTTTCTGGGTTCGATCCCTCGCTGATGTAGAAAAAAGGAGGGTCGGATGGCACTGGGAAAGGAACGAGAAAGAAAGGAAGAAAGGCTTATTAAAGGGCTCCAAACGTCCCATTGAAGTCGAACATGACCCCCCTCCCCATAAGAGATAGTAAAAAATGTATAATATCACACAGGACGACCACCTCACTCGCCTCATAGGAAACCTGCTACAAAACAGGAGCTTTTTTGTTGAGTTCCAGGGCCAGAAAAGCAGATGGTGGAAACAGAAGAACGGCCTGCCTCAGGGGAGCGTGCTCGCTCCATCCATGTTCAACATCTACACAAATGACCAGCCACTGCCAGAAGGGACAGAGAGCTTCATCTATGCTGATGATAGTGCCATCACCGCTCAAGCAGGGAGCTTTGAGGTGGTTGAACAGAAGCTCTCTGAAGCTCTAGGTGCTCTTACTGCCTATTACAGGGAAAACCAACTGATCCCTGATCCATCTAAAACACAAGACATGTGCTTTTCATCTCAATAACAGAGAAGCATCCCGAGCTCTGAGGATTATTACCTGGGAAGGAATCCCACTGGAGCATTGCAGCGCACCCAAGTACCTGGGAGTCACTCTGGACCGTGCTCTGACCTACAAGAAGCATTGCCTGAACATCAAGCAAAAAGTGGGTGCTAGAAACAATATCATACGAAAGCTGACTGGCACAACCTGGGGATCACAACCAGATACAGTGAAGACATCTGCCCTTGCGCTGTGCTACTCTGCTGCTGAGTATGCGTGCCCAGTGTGGAACACATCTCCCCACGCTAAAACAGTGGGTGTGGCTCTGAATGAGACATGCCGCATTATCACGGGGTGTCTGTGCCCTACACCATGGGAGAAATTATACTGCTTAGCCGGTATTGCATCACCTGACATCCGCCGGGAAGTGGCAGCCAATAGTGAAAGGACCAAGGCAGAGACATCTCCAGCTCATCCCTTTTTTGGGTATCAGCCAGCACGTCAACGACTTAAATCCAGACATAGTTTTCTAAGATCTACAGAGACACTTGCTGGAACACCTCAGCAAGCGAGAGTCCAAAAGTGGCAGGCTCAAACCCAGAACCTCAACCAATGGCTGATACCAAATGAGAGACTCCCCCCTGGGCACACAGAAACTGGGCGACTTGGAAGGCGCTGAACAGACTGCGCTCTGGCACTAAGATACAGAGCCAACCTCAATAAATGGGGCTACAAAGTGGAATCCACGACATGCGAGTGTGGAGAAGAGCAAACCACTGACCACCTGCTGCAATGCAGCCTGAGCCCTGCCACATGCACAATGGAGGACCTTCTTGCGGCAACACCAGAGGCACTCCAAGGGGCCAGATACTGGTCAAAGGACATTTAATCAACTACCAAACACACACATTTTGTATTTTGTCTGTTTGTTTGCTTTGTTCTGTTAGAAATGTAATAGAATTGACTGGCTGCCCTGACACGAGAAATAAATAAATATCATCACAATCCTCCTCGGGCTCTTTGTGCTCTGAGTCTCTGATGGCCTTTGCAAGCGGTCCCCTTGATTGCATCTGCCCACCCTTTCTGCTGCCCAATGCTTGCAAATGATTCAATAAGCTGGCCATAATTGCATCTCGTTGCCATCAGAAGAAATAAACCCAAAGGTCAGGGGCAGGCGGGCCCACTCTCCTGTCCTGAGATGCCTCTGCAAAAGGGTGGCCATCCTGAACTTCACGGCAGAAATAAGGGATTTGCAAGCTCCTCACCAAAGCTTCTTGGCGGAGGGGTGTGTGAGTGTGCGTTGCACAATTATACGAGTCCGTCGTAGAGCGAGAGCGCCTGCACAATGGAGGGGTCGGCCTTGGAGCCCTCCTGGAACTCCTGCAGGGTCAGCTTCCCGTCCGCATTCTGCAAGGAAAGAGAGAAAGGAAGGATGGGGACAAGCAAGTCGCCCTCCGTATCAGAAGGGGGTTTGGGACGTGGGGAGACTTCCTTCCTTCCCCCTTCCCTCCCCTCCTTCCTTCCCTTCCTCCCTCCCTCCCTCCTTCCTCCCCTCCCCTCCTTCCTTCCCTTCCTCCCTCCCTCCTTCCTCCCCTCCTTAGATCTCCCTCCTTCCCTCCCTCCCTCCCTTCCTTCCTTCCTTCCTTCCTTCCTTCCTTCCTTCCTTCCTTCCTTCCTTCCTTCCTTCCTTCCTTCCTTCCTTCCTTCCTTCCCTCTCTCCTTCCTTCCTTCCTTCCTTCCTTCCTTCCTTCCTTCCTTCCCTTCCTTCCCTTCTCTTCTTTCCTTCCTCCTCCCTCCCTCCTTCCTTCCTTCTTCCTTCCTTCCTTCCTTCCCTTCCTTCCTCCTCTCCCTCCCTCCTTCCTCCTCCCTCTCCTTTCCTCCTTCCCTTCCCTCCTTCCTTCCTTCCCTCCTTCCTTCTTCCCTCCCTCCCTCCCTCCTTCCTCCCTCCCTCCCCCTTCCCTTACTCCCTCCCTCCCTCCCTCCCTCCTCCTTCCTTCCTTCCTTCCTTCCTTCCTTCCTCCTTCCTTCCTTCCTTTCTTCCTTCCCTTCCCTTCTCATCCTTTGTCCTTCCTTCCTCCTTTCCTTCACTCCTCTCTTCCTTTTTTTCCCTTCCTTTCTTCTTAGTCCTGACCTTCCTTCATTTTAAACCCTGTTCATCCATCATTCCTTTCTCCCTTCTTTCCAAATATCTAGACCTTCCTTCAATCCCTTCTTCCTTCCTTCTTAGTCCAGCTCTTCCTCCCTCCTGCCCTCCCTCCCTTTGTCTGGTCCTTCCTTCCTTCCTTCCTTCCTTCCTTCCTTCCTTCCTTCTTAGTTCAGTCCATTCATCCATCCTCCCCTTCGAATATCTATATCTACCTTCCTTCCTTCCATCCATCTTATTCTTTTCTTCCTTGTTCATCTGTCTGTCCTTCCCCTCCAAATATTTATATCTACCCTTCTTCCTTCTTTCCTTCCTTCCTTCTCAGTCTAATCCTTCCTTTTTCCTTACTTCAAGCTATTCATCCTACCCTCCCTCCCTCATTTCTTTCCTTCCTTCTTATTCCAGTTCCTCCCTCCCTTTTTCCTTCCTTTCTTCCCTCCTTCCTTCTTTCTTTCTCCTTCTTTTCTCCCTTTCTTCTCAGTCCTTCCTTCTGACTTCCCTCCCTTTTTCTCAGTCCTTTCTTTCTTTCTTTCTTTTTCTTTCTTTTCTCCCTTTCTTCTCACTCCTTCCTTCCTTCTGACTTCCCTCCTTTTTTCAGTCTACTCTTTCTCTTTATTCTTTCTTTCTTTCTTCCCTTGCTTCTCAAGTCCAGTCCTTCGTTCTTCCCTTCTTTCCTTCCTTCTGTCTTCCCTCCCTTTTTCTCAGTCTACTCTTTCTTTCTTTTCTTCTTCCTTTTTCTCTTTTCTCCCTTTCTTCTCACTCCTTTTTTCCTTCTGACTTCCCTCCCTTTTTTCAGTCTACTCTTTCTTTCTCTTTATTTCCTTCCTTCCTTCCTTCCTTCCTTCCTTCCTTCCTTCCTTCCTTCCTCCAGCTCTTCCTCCCTCCCTTCCCTTTCTCCCCAATCCAGTTTTTCCTTCTTCTGGTCTTCCCTCCCTTATTTCTTTTCTTCCTTATTGTCCCTCCCTCCTCCTTTTATTTGCTCTTTCTTTCTTTCTTTCTTTCTTTCTTTCTTTCTTTCTTTCTCCTTTTCCGTCCTTCCTTTCTTCCTTCTCAGTCTAGCCCTTCCTTTTTCCTCAGTCCAATCTGTCCTTCCCTCTTCCCTTCCTCCCTTTCCTTCCTTTCTTTTTAGTCCTGACCTTCAATCTTTTTCAATCCTGCCCATCCGTCATTCCTCTCTCCCTCCTCCCTTCCAAATGTCTAATACCTTCCTTCCTTCCATGCCTCCTTCCTTCCCTCCTTCCAAGTCCAGCCCCCCTCCCTTTGTCTAGTACCTTCCTTCTTTCCATCCATCCTTCTTAGTCCAGTCCTTCCTTCCTTCTTAATCCAGTTCATCCACCTTCCCTTTCAAATATCTATATCTACTTCCTTCCTTCTCAAATCTAGTCCTTCCTTTTTCCTTAGTCAAAGCTGTCCTTCCTTCCTTCCTTCCTTCCTTCTTTCCCTCCCTCCCTCTTTCATCTCTCCCTCCTTTCTGCTTCTTTCTCTTTCCTTCCTTCTTTCCTTCTTTCCTTCCTTCCCTCCCTTTCATCTCTCTCTCCTTTCTCCTTCCTTCCTTCCTTCCTTCTCTTTCCTTCATTCCCTCCCTCTTTCATCTCTCCCTCCTTTCTGCTTCTTTCTCTTTCCTTCCTTCCCTTTCCTTTCCTTTTCTCCTTCCTTCCTTCCTTCCCTTCTCTTCTCCTTCTTCCCTCCCTCTTTCTCTCTCCTCTCCTTTCTCTTCTTTCTCTTTCCTTCCTTCTTTCCTTCCTTCCCTCCCTCCCTCTTTCCTCCCTCCCTCCTTTTTCCTTCCCTCCTTCCTTCCTCCCTCCCTCGTCCATTCTTCCCTTCCTCTTTCCCTCCCTCTCCTTCTCTTCCTTCTTTCTTTCCAAACCCAGCCACGTACTTTATCCATCATGGCAAAAATCCGGTCCACCCTCTTCTCGGGCGTGTTTTCTTCTTCGGGGAGCTCCACCGTGTTGCCCTGCAAAAGGAGAAGGAGGAGGAGGAGGAGAGGAGACACGCACTGCCTATCTTGGGCCCTTCCGGGACCTAGGGCATCCCGTCTCTTCCCCGGGAACGGCACTCACCACCATCTGGTAAATGGCATCCACGATGTCCAGCATCTCGTTCCGGGTGATGTAGCCGTCGTTGTCCAGGTCGTAGAGCTTGAAGGCCCCTGGAGACACACACAGGGACAACATGAGCCAATCCCACACTAACCACTAACCCCACATCTAACCACGTTGGAGAGATGTCCTCTTCCTGGTTTGCTAGCCTATATAACCACATAACATAACATAACAACATTATACTATACTATACTATACTATACTATACTATACTATACTATACTATACTATAATACAACAATACAATAATAATAATAATAATAATAATAATAATAATAATAAGATGTAATGTAAGATGCTTCTGACTTCCTGGGGTCTCAGCCCTGACTAGGAGTCGTCTGTGACTCGGGGTGGCCCGTACATTACAAACGCCACCCGGGCTAAGGAAGTCTCCAGGAAGTAAACAATGCAAAGGGAAGAAAGGCCAGGCTACTTCTGTAATAATAATAATAGTAATAATAATAATAATAATAATACAGCTACCAGAGTGTCTGCTGTGTACTCATCTTGTTGTGTTTCAAATAATAATAATAATAATAATAATAATATGTAATGTAAGATGGTTCTGACTTCCTGGGGTCTCAGCCCTGTTCTTGACTAGGAGTCGTTTGTAATTCAAGGCAGCCCGTACATTACAAACGCCACCCGGGCTAAGGAAGTCTCCAGGAAGCAAACAATGCAAAGGGAACAAAGGCCAGGCTACTTCTATAATAATAATAATAATAATAATAATAATAATAATAATAATAATAATCTATAATAATAATAATAATAATAATAATAATAATAATAATATGGAAGGACTTACAGCGCAGCTTCTCGTCCAAGGTTCCCCGGGAAGTGACGGACAAGGCCTGGATGAACTCGGAGAACTCGATCCTCCCGTCCTGGAAAAGGGGAAAGCGGTGAATCGAGGGGAAGGCACCACCCGGACCCTCCTGAGTTCCCCCATTGCGCTCAAGCAGGACTTCCCAACCTGGTAGGGTTTGGGAGGGGATTGATTTTGTCATTTGGGAGTTGTAGTTGCTGGGATTTACAGTTCACCTACCATCAAAGAGCCCCTTGAACTCCACCAATGATGGAAGTGAATCAATCTTGACACACAGAACTCCCATGCCCAACAGAAAATACTGGAAGGGTTTGGTGAGCATTGACTATGAGTTTGGGAGATGTAGTTCACCCACATCCAGAGAGCACTGTGGACTCAAACAATGATGGATCTGGACCAAACTTGGCACAATTACTCAATATGCAAAATGGTGGAGTTTGGGGAAAATAGACTTTGACTTTTGGGAGTTGTAATTGCTGGGATTTATAGTTCGCCCACAATCAAAGCGCACTCCGAACTCCACCAACTATGGAATTGAACCAAACTCTGCACGCAGGACTCCAACAACCAATGGAAAATACTGGGTTTTGTGGGCATTGACCTTGAGTTTGGGAGTTGTAGTTCACTTACGTCCAGAGAGCACTATGGACTCAAACAATGATGGATCGGATCTGGACCAAATTTACCATCTATATTCAGTATGACCAAATGTGAACACTAGTGAAGTTTGGGGAAAATAGACCTTGACCTTTGGGAGTTGTAGTTACTGGGATTTACAGTTCACCTACAATAAAAGCACACTCCGAACTCCACCAATGATGGAATTGAACCAAACTCTGCACACAGGACTCCCATGACCAAGAAAAAATACTGGAAGGGTCTGATGGGTATTGGCCTTGAGTTTGGGAATTGTAGTTCACCTACATCCAAAGAGCACTGTGGACTCAAACAATCATGGATATGGACCAAATTTAGCATCTATATTCAGTATGACCAAATGTGAGCACTTGTGGAGTTTAAAGAAAATAGACCTTGACACTAGGAAGTTGTAGTTGCTGGGATTTATAGTTCACCTACAATCAAAGAGCATTCTGAACTCCACGGGCGATAGAATTGGGCCAAATTGGGTTCCCACACAGAATCTCCATGAGCAACAGAAAATACTGTGTTTCCTGATGGTCCCTGCTTGCAGGTGAACTATAAATCCCAGCAATTAAAGGAATAGCCGAGCCGTACTTTGTTTTCGTCGAAGACGTTGAAGACGAAGGTGGCGAACTTGGTGGGGTCCCCGAAAGGGAAGAACTGCTTGTAGATCTTCTGGAAGCCGGCCGCGTCCAGCTGGCCGCTGGGACAGTCCTTGATGAAGCCTTTGTACCTGGAAGGGAGGGAAGAGGGCGGATTTGGGGAGAGCACACTCTGCAACACCACGAGGATTCCCCTTCCTGGATTATCAATGGCATTTTCCTAATCGGTTCTATCATCACCACATGGGGAAAAAGTTTATCAAACTGTCAAAACTTTGTTGTAGTTTGACTTTGGGTCCATCCTGGGAGTTGTAGGTTGACTATGTGCCATCCTGGGAGTTATAGTTTGAGTATGGGTGCATCCTGAGAGTTATAGTTTGAGTATGGGTGCATCTTGGAAGTTGGAGTTTGATTATGTGTGCATACTGGGAGTTATAGTTTGAGTATGGGTGCATCCTGGGAGTTGTAGTTTGAGTATGGGTGCATCTTGGAAGTTGGAGTTTGATTATGTGTGCATACTGGGAGTTGTAGTTTGAGTATGGGTGCATCTTGGAAGTTGGAGTTTGATTATGTGTGCATCCTTGGAGTTGTAGTTTGACTATGGCTGCATCCTGGGAGTTATAGTTTGACTATGGGTGCATCCTGGGAGTTATAGTTTGATTATAGGTGCATCCTGGGAGTTATAGTACAACTACGGGTGCATCCTGGGAGTTATAGTTTGACTATGGGTGCATCCTGGGAGTTATAGTTTGATTATAGGTGCATCCTGGGAGTTATAGTATAACTACGGGTGCATCCTGGGAGTTATAGTTTGATTATGGGTGCATCCTGGAAGTTGCAGTTTGGCTATGGGTGCATACTGGGAGTTATAGTATAACTATGGGTGCATCCTGGGAGTTATAGTATAACTATGGGTGCATCCTGGGAGTTATAGTTTGATTATGGGTGCATCCTGGGAGTTGCAGTTTGGCTATGGGTGCATACTGGGAGTTGCAGTTTGACTATGGGTGCATCCTGGGAGTTATAGTTTGACTATGGGTGCATACTGGGAGTTGTATTTTTATTATGGGTGCATCCTGGGATTGGAACACATTTTTCTCTAGTGTTCCAATACATATTTCTATTTATTTATGTATTTATGTATTTAGTTTAATAAATAATCTAGATATATAATAAAAGTGAATGTTTGTATGTATGTATCTATGTATGTGGCAGCTTTCTGATTGGTTGCCACTTTCACAGCCCACTGTGACCTGCACGAGCGACGGACCTGGACCACACTTGGCACACATGACCCCCATGACCAACTATACGTTCTGGTGCAGTTTGGAGGAGGATGGACCATGGATGATGGGACTTGCAGTACCTTCACTTACTTTCTGAGACCACTGTGACCCTCATCCAATGACTGATCAAGACCAAACTTGGCACACAGAACCCCCATGACCCATTCTACATCCTGGTGCAGTTTGGAGGAGGATGGACCACAGATGATGGGACTTGCAGTACCTTCACTCACTTTCTGAGACCACTGCGACCCTCATCCAATGACTGATCAAGACCAAACTTGGCACACAGAACCCTCATGACCCATTCTACATCCTGGTGCAGTTTGGAGGAGGATGGACCACGGATGATGGGACTTACAGTAGCTTCACTCACTTTCTGAGACCACTGTGACCTACATCCAATGACTAACAATGCAGCACCTGGTCCCCAAACTAATAATAATAATAAAAATAATAATAATGTAATGTCAAAGGCTTTCATGGCCAGAATCACTGAGTCGCTGTTAGTTTTCCAGGCAGCATTCTCTCCTGACATTTCGCCCACATCTATGACAAGCATCCTCAGAGGTTGTGAAGTCTGTATTCTCAATTCGCTTCTGACACAATAAATAAATAAATAAATAAATAAATTAAGGAGGGGATTTTCCTGGAGCTCGGAAGGTGGTCTCTCTCAAGCGTCGTTTTGGAAACTACGTCTTCCGGGGAGCGAAGATGGAGCGAATCCCTTCCCTTTGCATCCAGAGGCTCCTCTACGTGTCCGAAAGGGAGATAAACCATGCTTATGTCCATCCATCTTATGTCTACGGTCGCTTTGGGGAGGGAAACAAGTCCCCGTAAATATTTATCCCTCCTGGTTGTCATTCCTGCTTTAGGTAAAGGCAGCTGCTGGGGTTACAATAATATTTACAGACAAGCCGGAGGTGATGGATGTCGAGGCTGTCAAAGGCGGGGATTCTGGATTACCTTTCCCATATATATATATATATATATATATATGGAGAGGGATTGCCTTGGTCAAAACAGGTCCCGTTTCTCCATATAAGCCCACCTTTGCGGCTTTGTAAAAACTCCCTCCTCTCCTGCCAGCAAAACTCTGGGTGGAAGCAAACCTTAATGGATTGATTCCCCGAAAACGATCCCCGGATGGCCAATACTAATAGCCTTCTTCCTCTCGCAGCTCCCGGAACAAACCAATGAAATCCCAAACCGACACCAGCAGCCCATTTTCTCTTTCCTCCTACTGATTTGGAGCATGCGAACAACTGCAAAACACCACCCAGGCATATTATTATTATTATTATTATTATTATTATGTCTCTAAACAGTAAGCAATGAAGGGCAAGTGAATGCCACCCAGGCTAAGGAAGTCTCCAGGCAGCAAAGAATGCAAGGGAACAAAGCTCTGGCTACTTTTATTATTATTATTATTATTATTATTATTATGTCTCCAGGCAGTAAGCAATCAAGGGCAAGTGAACACCACCCAGGCTAAGGATGTCTCCAGGCATCAGACAATGCAAAGGGAACAAAGCCCTGGCTACTTCTATAATAATAATAATAATAATAATTATTATTATTATTATTATTATTATTATGTCTCCAGAAAGGAAAAAATCAAGGGCTAGCGAACGCCACCCAGGCTAAGGAAGTCTCCAGGCAGCAAACAATGCAAAGGGAACAAAGCCCTGGCTACTTTTATAATAATAATAATAATAATAATAATAATAATAATAATAATGTCTCTAAACAGTAAGCAATCAAGGGCAAGTGAATGCCACCCAGGCTAAGGAAGTCTCCAGGCAGCAAACAATGCAAGCTCTGGCTACTTTTATAATAATAATAATAATAATAATAACAATAATAATAATAATAATTATTATTATTATTATGTCTCCAGACAGTAAGCAATCAAGGGCCAGTGAACCCCACCCTGGCTAAGGAAGTCTCCAGGTAGCAAACAATGCAAAGGGAACAAAGACCTGGCTACTACTACTACTATTATTATTATTATTATTATTATTATTTCTCCAGACAGTAAGCAATCAAGGCCCAGTGAATGCCACCCAGGCTAAGGAAGTCTCCATGCAGCAAACAATGCAAAGGGAACAAAGCCTGGACTACTTTTAAATAATAATAATAAATACTAATAATATTTACTATCATCATCATTATTATTATTATGAATCTATTATTATTATTATTATTAACTTCACAAGATTATTATTATTATAATTATTATTATTGCTCTAGACAGTAAGCAATCAAGAGCCAGTGAACGCCACCCAGGCTAAGGAAGTTTCCAGGTAGCAAACAATGCCAAGGGAACAAAGCCCTGGCTACTTCTATTATTATTATTATTATTATTATTATTATTATTATTATGTTTCCAGACAGTAAGCAATCAAGAGCCAGTGAACGCCACCCAGGCTAAGGAAGTCTCCAGGTAGCAAAAAATGCAAAGGGAACAAAGCCGTGACTACTCCTATAATAATAAAAATAAAAATAATTATTATTATCATTATTATGTCTCTAAACAATAAGCAATCAAGGCCCAGTGAATGCCATCCAGGGTATGGATGTCTCCAGGCTATTATTATTATTATTGTTATTATTATTATGTGTCTACTGTTTAGAGACATAATACACAGTAAGCAATCAAGGGCAAGTGAACACCACCCAGGCTAAGGAAGTCTCCAGGCAGCAAACAATGCAAAGGGAACAAAGCTCTGGCTACTTTTATAATAATAATAATAATAATAATAATAATAATAATAATTATTATTATTATTATTATTATTATTATTATGTCTCTAAACAGTAAGCTATCAAGGGCAAGTGAACGCCACCCAGGCTAAGGAAGTCTCCAGGCAGCAAACAATGCAAAGGGAACAAAGCCCTGGATACTTCTATAATAATAATAATAATAATAATAATTATTATTATTATTATTATTATTATTATTATTATTATAATATCTCTGGACAGTAAGCAATCAAGGCCCAGTGAATGCCACCCAAGGTAAGGATGTCTCCAGGCAGCAAACAATGCAGAGGGAACAAAGCCTGGTCTACTTCTAAAATAATAATAATTATTACTATTATTATTATTATTATTATTATTATTATTATTATTATTATTATGTCTCCAGGATGCAAGCAATCAAGGACCAGTGAGTGCCACCCAGGCTAAGGATGTCTCAGACAGGAAACAACTCAAAGGAAACAAAGGCTGTGCTACTTCTATAATAATAATAATAATAATAATAATTACTATTATTATTATTATGTCTCCAGGCAAGAAGCAGTCAAGGGTTAGTGAATGCCACCCGGGCTAAGGAGGTCTCCAGACAAGAAATGCAGACGAAATGGGAATAATAATAATAATAACAATAATAATAATAATAATAATAGGAGCCAAGGCTGCTGGAACACAACAACACCCTTATCTGGTTCTCTCTTTCGTGCTTGATTCTCATTCCCTTTGCTGTTGTTTTCAATGCCGGAATTATCTAAGAGGGGCGCCCGCTTTCTTGCTTGCATGTGCTGACGAAAAACCTGGCAAATATATATATATACACACACACATCGGGAATCAACAAGGAACAAAGGCAGAGGAATAGCAGATTGGGGGCGGAGGAGGAGGAGGAAGCGTTACGCAATGGGGGGGGGGCACCCAAATCTGTCAAGCCATCGATCTTTATGGCAAAGGAGGAGGAGGATGAGATGATGATGGGAAGACAAGCAGAAATATATCTCTTTTCTGAGACTTTTTTTGGTGGTGACTCATCAAGGAGGAGGGGGGTCGCATTGGTCATCGATTCCCAATTAAAGCCGTCCCCAAACGACCGGGAATTGGATGCTACGAGTGTGGATTTGATATGCGCACGATTCTGGTTGTGTACCAGTTTGCACTCTGCTTGTAACATGATGTTTACAAGGTCATTTCCTAATGGGTCCTATCACAAAAACATGGGGAAAGTTTATCAAGCTGCACAAACTTTGCCTTTGCGGGAAGGACTTAATAGCAAACTTTGCAATAATTTTCCAATATTTATCTCGTCGTCGAGTCTGAACCAATTCAGCCACAAAAACAACAACGTTTCTGGAGTATAACAACTGCTTTCAAAATAAGGACCTCACAATTAAACAGATGTAACCCTTTCAAACCAAGAAAAGCACATTATTTTTCAAATACGAACTGTTTATATTTGTGTGAACGCAAGTCCGTGGGATGTTTATCTACAGTTATATGTTATTGATTTAGATATGTGATATTTTTATACATATGTGAGGCATTGAATTTGCCATTTATTATGTTGTAAACCGCTTTGAGTCCCCCCAGGGGTGAGAAAAGCGGTATAGAAATGTAGTTAATAATAATAATAATGTCTGCAAAAGAGGATTTTGATTAAAAATCCCAAAAAGTTGGATTAGAGTTCTGTCCTACATGAGAATCATCATCACCATCTCATTCATATACATAGACATAATACATTTTATTATTTTATATTATTTGTTATTTTTAATTTTATTATGTTATATTATTATATTATATTATATTATATTATTATTATCCTTGGGATGTATGGAAAATAAGATTTGTATTCTGTCTTCCATTAAAATTATTATTATTATTATTTTATATTATTATTTTATATTGTCGAAGGCTTTCATGGCCGGAATCACTCAGTTCTTGTGGGTTTTTTCGGGCTATATGGCCATGTTCTAGAGGCATCTAGAACATGGCCATATAGCCCGAAAAAACCCACAAGAACTGAGAGATTATTTTATATTATTTACATTTTTATATTATTATTATTATTATTATTATTATTATTATTATTATTATTATCCTTTGGATGCCTGCAAAATAAGATTTGGATTCTGTTTTCCATGACAATTATCATCATTATTATTATATTTATATTATTTTATATTATTATTATTATCATCATCATCATCATCATCATCATCCTTGGGATGCCTGCAAAATAAGATTTGGACTCTATCTTCCATTAAAATAATTATCATCGTTTTTATTATTTTATATTATTATTATTATATATTATTTTATATTATTATTATCCTTTGGATGTCTGAAAAGTAAGGAAAAATAAGATTTGGATTCTGTCTTCCATTAAAATAATAATAATAATAATAATTTTATATTATTATTATTATTATTATTATTATATTATCCTTTGGATGTCTGAAAAATAAGATTTGGATTCTGTCTTCCATTAAAATTACCATTTTAATTATTATTATATTATATCATTTTATATTATTATTTTATTTATATTATTATAATATCATTATTAACTTTGGGATGCCTGCAAAATAAGTTTTGGATTCTGTCCTCCATGAGAATTATCATCATTACTATTATTATTATTATCATCATCATCATCATCATTATATATTATTATTATATTATTATTACATTTTATTATATTTTTATATTATTATCCTTGGGATGGCTGCAAAATAAGATTTGGATTCAAAATCCTAATAAATCGGATTTGGATTCTGTCTTCCATGAGTATTATTATTATTATTTTATATTATTATTATCATTATCATTATTATTATTATATTTTTTATATTATTATCTTTGGGATGGCTGCAAAATAAAGATTTGGCTTCAAAATCCTAATAAGTCGGATTTGGATTCTGTCTTCCATGAGAATTATCATCATCATCATCATCATCATCATTATATATTATTATTCTTATTATATTTTATTATATTTTTATATTATTATCCTTGGGATGGCTGCAAAATAAGATTTGGATTCAAAATCCTAATAAGTTGGATTTGGATTCTGTCTTCTATGACAATAATAATAATTGGGTTGTTGTAGGATTTTTCGGGCTGTATGGCCATGTTCTAGAGGCATTCTCTCCTGACGTTTCGCCTGCATCTCTGGCAAGCATCCTCAGAGGTAGTGAGGTCTGTTGGAACTAGGAAAATGGGTTTATATATCTGTGGAATGACCAGGGTGGGACAAAGAACTGTTGTCTGTTGGAGCTAGGTGTGAATGTTTCAACTGACCACCTTGATTAGCATATAATGGCTAATTATTATTATTATTATTATTATTATTATTATTATTATTATAGTATTGTATTTTATTTCATTATTATATTATATTACATTATTATATTTTATATTATTATATTTTACTATATTATTATATTAATTATTTTATATTATAATAGTCTATTATATATAGAATCGGAGTAGAACGATGACTTTCAAAGTCAAGACTGCACAATTAAACAGGAAATGACACTTTTGAGCCAGGAACAGACCATTTCTCCCATTGTGTTACAGAGTGTGATTATTATAATTGACCTTATTTATATCCCACTGTTTGCAATCAGCCCTAATGGGGAGGTCAGGCTAGGTGGCCCTTGGGGTCCCTTCCAACGTGGCGATGCTCTAATTCTTCTCCTCCAACCACATGGATGGATTTGGCGAGGCGGACAACACAACTCAGCCCTTAAATCTCACTTTTCTCGCCTTGTTTCTCAATAACGGGACCTTTGCGCAACCTTTCGCACGTCCCCGTCCTGCCAAATCAAGCTGTGCAAAGGAAGCCGCCCCGCTTTTCGCACCTTGTGTCACGTCTCTCCGCAAAGAGATGCAACCCTTTTGGAAGGGCAATGATATCAAGGAGACATGCGCATGCCCACACACCGTGCAACACGGCTTCGCACGCCCACCCATATGCAACATTGCACTTGCGACTCACCATTGCTGGACTTCCTTCTCCGTAACTGTGGAAGGAGGGG